GGCTAAACATCCCGGCTGCTTAGGTAATTACATATTTATGACTCTGCCGAGAATTCTTAGTCAAAGCTTATTTCTGAACTGTAAAATACATAGACAATCAGCAGAGAAAGTTCTCTGACAAATGCTACTTCAAAACAGAGCCACCACTTCTTAAAAATTGTAGGGACAATAGTTTCCCTTTCAGTTGATTCATTCAGTAGTGAACATTAGCTAATGGTAGAAAAAGGAGACAAGGGTGTTTTCCCCCTGAATCAGAAAGGGATCTTACCAGTGTGTTGAACTCGCTTTCTGTAGAAAAATAGAAAATTTAAAAACCCTTCCAAAAATGGATCAAAACGCAATAGAACATAAAATTTTTCATGCTTCTCATAGTATGCACCCTACCACACCAAACGATTTTTCTTCTGTAACATATTATTAGCACTTCCTCTTCAATAAATGTACTGCTAGATCAGCTAATTCATGCTGATCCAATAAACAGAACTTATAGATGAACACTCTGAAATATAATTGTTCAGCTGTAACCAATTATCAGACAAAATATATTGCACTTCACCTTCCTTCATTCATAATAGCATCCTTTGATTTTAGAAGCAGCAGAACAGTCCAAAATTTCATGTTGTCACTTAGTTCAGACTATTTCAGAAACTGCTAGAAATATTTTTTCCACCTTTTTAAAGCCGTTCTCCATAAACTGTACAACCAACAGCCTCAACAATAAATTTCATGAGCACTTTTAGGCCCTACTGTTGAAAGTGCTTTCAGGCTTGGTTAGCTTTACGCACGTGAGCACTCCTTAGTTATAGCTCAAAAGAACTATTCCTACACTTGAAGTTACAGGCACGCACGTGCGCATGTATTTGCAGAATAAGGGCGCTAGTCTTGCAGTGTTATTTATTTTCAAGCAACTCTTCATGTCTCTTGCAGCCAACATCTTAAGTACTGCCAAGTTTCATAAACTCTTGAAAGCAGGGGTCCCTGTTCTCAGTGTATTGAAAACCAACCTTCAACTCTACCATCTTTCAAAGGTCTGCCCACCCATAGATATCCTTTTGTGTATACTTAATAGTTGTGAGTCGACATTCAGCTCCTGTTGAAACAAAGTCAATTCTGCAATGTCGGTGCAAACCCTGGAGCTAGCAGCATGGACCTCCCGCTGTCCTTGGCAGGTGCCAGCAGATGCAGGGCCTCCATGCCAAACCCAGCTCCTCCATTTCTGGGTGCAGGCTCCTGCCCTCTCTCCCTTGCTTGTCTTCCTCTGCATGGAACCATGTTAACACAATGGACTGACAGAAGATTAACCTGGCAGAGAGATTAGCATCAAAAGGGTTTAACTGGTGTGGAACCACAGGCTAACAGTTATATTAATTTATTCCTTCAGCTGTCTTCTAAGGAGTGGTAAGGTCACAAGATGACACTACAGAAGGCACCACAAAGGGGTTCGAAGAAAAAGTCTTGCTGCAGCCTTGGGGAAGTTTTTGCAGACATCTTCTAATCCCTTCACTGAATGCCTTTTTCTTTGGAGTGACTTATTCATCCTCCTGAGCTCTTCAAACCACTCCTGGGCTAAATCCACTGGGTAGATAATCATGTTGAAGTGTTGCACACATGGAATTTCCTGGCCCAAAAGACTTAGAGCCTGCAGAGTTCTTCTCCTATAACAAGTCTCTTATGTGTAAGAACAGCTGATGTAACACACAATGGATGCGCTACACCGTCAAAACACAGTATGATATATTCACCTAAAAGTAGACAGCATTGAAAAGAATGCACTTAAACACCTACTCCATATTACCCTCAAGAGACTATGAGGGCATGACTTAGCTGTTGACGACCCCGCTTCCCTGGAGACTGAGTAACTTTGTGCTCGCTATCCTCAGACTTCGCCTGCGTCAGCTTGTAATAAATGATAACACCCTCTCTTCTCATCTGCAGGAGTCCTTTTTAACTGATCAGTCAGTTGATCTTTGTCAAACTAACCATGTAGTAAGAGATGGAGCCAAGAACCCAGACAGAGCGTTTTTCAGGATGCCTCTCAGAAAGCCACCCCATTGCCTTTCTTGCTTGATTCTTCCATAGCCCTTGTTGGTTACATCCTACAAACTTAAATCCACCACGGCAAGCTGTTGTATCATAGTCACAAACGGACACTCCCCAGCTTTCTCTAAGTTCCTGGGTTTTGCACACTCCTTTTACATATGTGTATCTATACATATGTATGTACACGCAAGCACACCCCTATATATCCACACATATTTATGCATACACACACACACACACGCAGGCCTGCTTCAGTGACTTGCAGAAGGCAGAAAGGCAAACTGGTTTGCTTCTAAAACTTGCAAGAGAAGCCTTGCAAGGTACAGTGGAAAATCTCTCTCAGGTAAGCTACCTGCTCCATCACAAAACAAAATTAATTTGCTAAAGGCGTTGTGGAAAACCTGCCATGATCTTTTGCTTAGGCCAAAGGTCCAGGACCTTTGATCTTTATTTCCAACACATTCATTAAGCTCTGTGAACATAGATTCAGCCTCTAAATAAACCCTTAAAATCCCAGAAAAAGCAGCATTATACACTAATTTTCCTTCACTTAATAGGCCTTTTTTTTTTAAGCCTTTGCATCTTTCCTTTGAGACTCTGAGGAACATTACAATTGATTGTAAAAATAGGAAGGAGCCACACTCTTTTTAGCAGACTATATCACAGTATAAATATTTTATTTAAAAAAAAAAAAAAATTGCCAACAATTACAATGTGGTTTTAACTCTATTTAGTTATCAGTTAACATACCACAGATGACGCAAAAAAATAAGCACTATTACCTTTAAAATAGAAAAACAAAGAAAAAAAAACAAAACAGGATGTGTAACTTCTGTGGTTTACTTTTTTTTTTTTTTAAGTACTAAGATATGGTACCAACAATCATGATTAAAAAATGGTCAAAAATGCTAATATTGTTTCTCAAGGAAATCAGAAATTAATTTCTGACTCAAATATATGTATTGAATATGGGTAGCCAAGTTAAACCAAGTCCTGCTTGGGAGAAGAATACAAACTGCTTTTTCCAGGTCAACCTCTGGCCCATACTTTGTCTACAAACATCAGAGAGAAAAACAACATAATAAAACCCTATAAAAGTCTTTTTTAGTATAAACCAGATTAGGTTATGATTACTTTTGAGATGATAAAGAATGTGTCTAGCTTGTCTCTTAAATCTACATTCAAACTGTTTCAAAGTTAATTAAGAGATGAGTAATTGTTTAGAAATCTCTAGAATAATAAAATATAACAACTTACAGCACAAAAGAGTGGGAAGTATTTCACTTCACTACAAGTAACAGTTGAGTATGTTTTATGATCACTGTAACAACTCGCATGCCCTTGAGACCGTGCAATTCTGAATTTCTAATGTAATTTGTAGGGGGGAATTAGGACAAAATGCAGTAACATTTCAAGTATAGTCTCTCAGTATTTTAAAATTTTATGAAGTATAAGGACTAGGTTAATGGGGAATGAGTCATGTTTTTAAGAGAAGCAGTAATACAGACCCGTATTTTAAATCATAACTGAAAACATGCTCAAATAATACAAAATAGAAAGAAATTGGAGTAGCTTTTTGCTGGAAAAAGGTCAACAACAAAAATTTAGCAATAATAGAAAAGGCTGAGAGCACTTCCAGTTTCAGTTTTGGAAAGTTAAAATACCAGGCTAAGTGACCAGCTGAAAACACTGCCTTCTCACTCAACAAATCCATTCCCACCAGCTGAAATTCATCCCAAATCAACACAGACTTTACACGTAGCAACTCTGAGCATAAACATCAGGCCATTAAATGATATACACACTTGGTGTAGATCTTCTGATTTCAGACTTATATTTGCTTTATTTAGTGCCAAACATGCTGCATTACATTTCACTCCATGATGTCTTTGAGAGTCAACTGAATCACTTACTGCATTTCAAAGTAAAGCAGTTACATCCAAGCAAACTCTCTTGAAGTTTCATTTTGTTCACAGGGCAAAGACAGTGGAGTTGCAAAGGTGTAAGTGAGACTATAATTTATTTACATATTTCTTCAGATCTATGCCCACACGCAAACCAAAGGAACTCAGCTCAGCTCTCAGATCCCAAACTGAGTTGTCAAAGCTAGCGGTTAGAAATACTCTCCCTTTAACTCCTGTACTGAGCACAATGCTCTAGAAATGCTCGAAATACAAAACTCATGCTGGCACTTTATGCATTTCCTTCTTAAGGCTAATGCTGCAATTAACATTCTTGTATACCTCAACTGTAACAACACAAGATATCAAAACTGTTGAAAAAAGATTATTTGATCAAAGCTGAAGCAGTAAGTTCCAGTCCTTCTCTTCAGACCTCACCTCTGCTTTCCATCTGCACAGCTATCAGAAAGCACGAGTAAACCATCAAGGCAGCCTGTAAATACAAACTTCCAATAGTCTACAGCACTCAGTAATATTCCAGAGATGGCACAAGAAGATCGCATCAACCAAGCCCCCTTCTACAGAAGCTAAGCTATTGGCTTCACTAGGCTTACGCTGTCAAATGTGCTGAAGCAAAATCCACCTGGCCCTGCACAGGCTTTTTGTAAGAGAAGCTGTTAGTACCGAAACAAACTGCAGAGAGCACCCAAGTGGGGGCAATAGAGCACTCGGCTCGGCTACAGCTTGCCCCGAACAGGCTTTTGGCCAAAAGAGGAAGCAAAACCAGTTACCAACAGGATGAGCTGTGTTATCGGCAAGTCACACTTCTCACTTCAAAATTAACATGCTGCCCTACTTTCCACGGGATAAAATCCAGAAACAATTTTAATATTTTTATCAAACAAAATAATGATCTAGATGTTTCCTAAAATAGTTAAATAATCCCCTTGTGTACTAAAAAGTAGTTATTCTAAAAATACTATTTGCAACACAAGACAGCTTATGGTATATCTGCAGGAAGGAACCACACCACCTTTAGCCAGTTAAAAAGGTACTTACCATTGGCAGTGCATTGATATGCGGAAGTTTTCCTTTCAGGTGCCTCTTGCCACAGAAGGGTGATGCTGACAAGGAAATAAGACCAAATAGGAAACATTAGTATTTATTATTTTGAAAACAGCAGTAACACAGTAAAACGTTATCAAGTATGGGCCTTCACGGCTCTTACAGCCTACTCTGTTCAAGGAGCTGAGTGATTACCACCGAATTTGTACACCGCCTAGAGCAGCAGCGATCAGGCACAGAAGAGCACGCAGAGCTGGGGTTTTGCATATATCCTGTCGCTACCCACATCACACAAACTGCTCCTGCGGGGAGCCTGAAACACAGACCTTTGAACAAATAAGCCTGTTGAATGAACACTTAATACCATCAGACCTCTAGACAGTCGCACCCATTCAGCAGAGGCACACACACACAAAACAACCTGTGTATAAAACATCCTGATGTCTGGATTTTGATTTAGCTCTCCAGAAAAAGCTTTGGGAAGTTAACTAGGCAAAGTAGGCAGCTTACAGGATCTTCTGCCCGTGCCAATTTTTTTTCTGGAAATAAACCTCAGCTACCAACTTCTAAACACTCTGAAAAGCCTCAGACGAAAATCAACATTGCAGCGGTTTGACTTCCAAAATGGTTACAGTCACTGTGAAGCATTAAAGAAAAAACAAACAAACAAAAAATCTGTTTTCCTAACACATATGGCAGTAAATAACTCCATTTATGTACACAGGTGTGTCTACGGACCCAGACAGTTACCAACTCCTGCAATGACCTCAGTAATTAAAAAACCCAGCTCATACTAGTTACTGGTGACATTTGACAACATGTACGTAATAGAAATCTTCCTAGTGCAATACTCAAGAGAAATCTTTCCCTTCTTCAAAAAACAAACAAAAACATAATCCAAAAAAACCCGTGCTCCCCTACATCTTAGTAATTTTCTTTACATACCAATAATAATTTTATGCATCTAACAACAAAATAGTTACGTTAAGCAATCACATTCTGACATCCAAATATGTGTTAACTCCACTGTAGCATCCATTCTTACTCGGTAATGACAAATGATTTTTATTCACACCAGTATTTCTGAGTGGTTGCTCTCTCTACAAATACTTGCCAGACTACTTTTCTTTAGGAAATAATCTGATCGCCCACTCTAAAGATCAGGAACAGGGACAGATGGTCATGGATGACTAATAAAGTATTATCAGACTATTTTTAGATTAAACTATTTACAAAGCATCTGTAAACTGTGTTCTAAAACTTTTACCATGAGTAAAGAATAACTACCGTTTTCAGGGTTCATGAGCAACACAAAGTTCTCACACAGAATCTTCAACCTCAACCCATAGGAAATAGTTTTATTGTAAAGCCATTTTTGGACCCAGACAAAAAAAAGCAGCAGCAGTCGGGCTTATTTTATTCTAAGAAGATCCCACTGCACCAGCAAGGTGGGCAGAAACATAACCTTCACAGTACAAGCTAGAGGAGCTGCAGAGGATGCTGAAGAATGCAGGAATAAAAAAAAAAAAAAATTTCCAAACAGCTCTTGTTTCCTTGCATAGTTGTACTGGTGCTGCAGAAATTATGTAAATAGGCTGAGGAAAACTCCACTCCTCAAGTGGCATGGTTTCCTACACGGAGCTACTCACAAAGTTTGTTGTTTGCCAGAGCCAGAGCTGCAGACTAGCAGTGAAGAGAAACCTTTATCACTTCGCTCGGCAGACCCCATAAAAAACGTCACTTGCTTCTAACAAGAGTTTTCCTTAAAAAGAGTACAAAACACCAACCAATATTCTTTTGAGAACAGTCTAAACCATTATAAAAGCTGTGTGCAGAGAAAGGCAGAGGAGGGCTCTGCTGCCTTCTGAGCATAATGCTTGGTTTGGGTTATTTCATTTGGGAAGGAACATGGCAAACATAAATAAAGGGATGATTGCACAAACATAAACCATTTTTTTCAACAAAAAAAGGCTTTCTTCAGTATACACTGCCCAAACTGTCTCCTTCCAACACCTCTTTGCCCTTGTGCAATCTTCTGAGTGCAGTACTTATCGTCAAAGCCAGAGAGGGAAACCTTTCCGTCTGATCCATGGAAGAGGCTTCTTGTCCTTTGCTTTATATCTAAACAGGGCAGTGACACGGAAAGAAGCTGGAAGCAAAGACTCAAGAGAGCAGAGAATGAGAAAAGAAAGGGTTCACTGACTCTGCTTCATTCCTCACTCATGTTAATTGGTTGTAGGCTCCAGTTTTAAATAAGGGCATTTGAAATGACACGTAAACATTCAGAAAACTCTGATGTCCTTCTTCAGAATCAAGTACTGGGCACAAATGCCTCATCAGCAGCTTTTTTCTTTCCAAATTTATCCTATTGGACTTTGCCACTTTGGCATGTACCTTGAAACAATGCAGGTGACGGCTATAACTTATTGATTTTAAGACTATCTCTCACTTTATATACTGACTTGTAATGGTGATTTAAACAGGTGATCAGCTGTAGTAACAGCTACAGCATGTGACACTTAAAAATAATCCACCAGATGCCCTTGAAGTTGATAAAGCACACCTGGGGAACACACAGTAGCTTGGGAGTTTGGATCCTTTAGCTCGGAGGGGCTGGGGGTTCATCACTGTTCACCACTAATGCCTTCAGTATGGACTGAATACTGCCCCCCTTGACTTAAAAAGAATTAAGATTTTGCTTAGGTATGTCAGTACTGACCAGCTCCCAGCCAGTGCTCACCAGCTTTGCCCACACGGCTTTTTCTGCACAAGCGTGACACACCTGATGCCTGCGTCCCTCAAGTGAGGCAGTGCCCAAACACTGGGTACCCCATCATCTCCTCGGGAAGAGCATCCCGCTGTGGTGCACAGAGCGGCAGCAACACCTGAAGGCATAAACTCTCAAGGCCCGTTTGCACACAGATGTGGCAAAAAGGTGGAGGCAAGCAGGTTGCACGAGACAGGCAGTTCCCATCTGCAGGGCCAAAACTAACACGCCAAACCAGCTATCAAAAAAAGCAAATACCAGTCCATGCTGCTAGCACAGATTGGGCTGCTGTTATCAACTGAGTACTAATCGTGTGGTACAATGACAAAACCACAGATAAAAACAACCGTGGCACTGCACAGTGACAAATCTGCTTATAAACACACAGCGCAGATGTACACTAATGTTATTCCTTACCTGTTTCCGAACACAATCAGTTCAAAACAAAGGTTTCTCTAGAAGCTATTTACAAAAATGCTTAAACATTTTCTTCGAGAAACACCATAATTTACCCTGTTTTCTCCTACCCATCCATCACAGAAGGAATTACACTGGGTTCGTGCTACGGCTGAAACAATGTTTTCTGCGTGAGCTTTGAATCGCTTCTGTTCCTCATGTGAACTTGTGCATTCATGTTTTTCTTCTAATCCTCTTAGGATTGCACTGTTTATACTACTTTCCGAGATTTTGCTGCTATTTGAGCTTTAACAACAAATTTAGTCATTAGATGTTGTGCTTTGTGAATTACAAAAGCTGTCTAAGGACAGAGTATCTTTTCTTCTAAATTCTTCTCGAGTATCCTACTTTTATCTGGG